GTAGAATGGAGACTCTATTTGCAAACCATATACCCAGTAGGGAACTAATATCTAAAATATATAAAGAATTACAACTCAGTGGCAATAAAACAGATAACCCAACTGAAAAATGAGTAAAGCACTTGACTAGACATTTTTTCTAAGAAAGGCATACACATGTCACTTGTGATATTTTAAATACAGTGTATTTTAGATACATGTATTTTATGTGTAATTGAAATTTCAGTCTTCCTCTCATCTGGCAGTTCCGTACTGAGTGCCAGTGTCAAGTTGTTTACTGTAGTAGGCGTGGTCATGGATGTAAAGTTGGTGGTGGTCCTGTCCTGGAGGGAATTACTCTGAATAGGATAGAGAGTAGTAGGTCATAACCAAATCCCCAGTCCTAGCCTAAGACCCAGTAAGGTCAAGAGCAAGTTGTTGGTTGTCGCAGGGTTTTCCCTGCATGCTGCTTCAGATGGCAGCTTCCGTGTATAGCTAAGAACAGAATGAAGCCACAGGCTTATTCAGAGACCTCAAGCTTTACAACTTCTCTTTAACATTTATAATTATGATTGTGACAACCCAATCTGGTTTTGATGCTGTTATGTTTGAAGGTAGATCCCAGCCACCGATCAGAGCACTCAGATGGGTCATCTTCACCAAAAGCCCAGGGCTTCTTTCTGTCTCCACAGCACCCCCAGCTCAGGGTGAAGTACCCTAACCCTAGGACTAGTGAGAACCACCTTCCCAGTTCAGCTTTCTCCCCATCTGCAGGTCCATCTTCTCGCTCAGCATGTGGGTATTTCTTAGAGGGTGAAGGGAGGTGATTTTTCAAACTGTTACCAAGAGTAGGGAGAAAGTTAATTTACCTCTTAAAATTAGTTTTATATTCCTTTTACATTGGTGAAATTCATTCTCTGATTTTTTGTGTAATGTTGAGAGATTCTCGGTTTTGATTGAATAAGATCATAATGTCAGTTTTTTGAAAGCAAACACTTTCATGGAGTGTAAATGAAACAAGACCAGTTAAATGTTTCGAGATGGAACTTTTGTGGAAAATGCTGCATGTTGGAGGAGGATGATGCAGTGAGTTTCCGGGACTGAGAGCCTCCCTTCCCTAGATACTTGAAATTATATTAGGGCAATTAGATTATAACTCAAACTTCTGAAAACCATTTAAAGATAGGTAAGAAATTCATTTCACTGTATTGTACTGTAAATTGTAAATGAGATTCAAGATTAATTGTTTAATAGGTTGAAGTTTTAAATTGAAATTTCTTTCTATGTTATTTTATATCTGTGTGATTCACCATGAAGGTTGGTTTAAAACCAGTTTCAGAAATACTGATATTATTATATTATTTTCATCTAAATTGAAGTTATTATTTTTTTAAAAATTGGTCCTGGCCACTTCTTTGTATCTCTCAAATTGCCACTTTCTATGTCATTTTTAGAACTATTAATAGGTGGCTGATTGTACTGAGCCTGGGCATAGAATAAAATAAGTACAGTGGTCCCCCTTACCTGTGATTTTGCCTTCTGCATTTTTAGTTAGCTCCAGGCAACCTTGATCCAAAAACATTAAATGGAAAATTCCAGAAATAAGCCATTTATAAGTTTTAAATTTCACACTGCTCTAAGTAGCGTGGTGAAATCTCACACTGTCTCAGCCGGTACATGAGTTATTTCTTTGTCCTGTGTGTCCATGCTGTCTGTCCTACCCACCCATGAGTCACATAGTAGTTGTTTTGGTTATGAGATCGGAAAAGCGTAGTATATATAAGGTTTAGTGCTATCCATGGTTTCCGCCATCCCCTTGGAGGTCTGCAGATCATGGGGGCACTGCTATACAATATTTTAGCATGGTTGGGGAGCTAAAGCATAGTTCCTACTATTCTTACCAGAAAATGGGCAAGAAATGTTCAATCCCATATTTTTATTATCAGGTCACACAACTTGTGAAGTAGCGACATGGACAGGAGATAGGGAAATAGTGGGTAGAAGAAGGCAGTTCCCCAGCAAAGGTCCCACCCTCAAGCCTGGAAACCTATAGCCCTAAATGGGAACAGGCATTCCTGTTTTTGCACCCACAAGCTGTCTTTTGGCCCACCACCACCTCCTATACCGTACACATATAAACCTGAGATCTCAGGCTTCAGAAGGAGACAAGGAGTTGAACAGAAGAGCAGAATGGCATAGCAGAGAGAAGAGGAGCATCTGAGTGCTGAGAGGAGTTCACCTGGGGATGATCGGTGGGGAGATAGGTCACTGGACAGCCAAACTCGAGGGGAAGATAATCTTCCCACTCTATTCCCCTTCCATCCCACCGAGAGCCACTGCCCTCATCCAATAAAAGCCCCACATTCATCCTTCAAGTCCACGTGTGACCTGATTTTTCCTGGATGCTAGACAAGAGCTTGGGATACAGAAAGCTATCACACTGGCCCTCTGCCTTTGTGAAAAGGCAGAGGGTCCATTGAGCTTTCTAACACTTAAGCTGCCTATGGATGGCAAGGCTAAAGGAACACACTGTAACAAGCGACCACTTGGGCTTCAGGAGTCACAGACATACATCTCTGGACGCTGCCCTGGGGCTGAAACCCAGGGGCACTCGTCCCAGCTCCTGCACCTGTGCATCTGTGGACTCCCCTTCCCATAAGGGGTTTAAGCATGCATTGCTGCCAGATAGACAAGTCACGCCTCTGTGGCATGTCCTGCAGGGTAGGTCAGGGAACCCTCTTGTTTCGGTAGATATATTTGATAAAAATAATACTATCCTAAGGAATGATCCTGTATGTGGTGTGTGTGTGTGTGTGCGTGCGCGCGTGTGTATGTGTGTGCATGCACACGCATGTGCCATGACTTTTAGTGGGTGCATAGGTACGTGAGGTCTTGTTTGAGCAATAGTGTCATTTAATTGGCTAATGGGAACAAGCAGCAATGTCTCTTTCTTGCAAGTGTTCCTCATTGCATGTTCTTTTCCTAAGAGCAAACAAGTCTTTTCATATTTGGAGACAGTGAAAATTTCTCAAAACCATCTTGCTTGTGGTGTTTCAGGGACTCTTCCCTAGGCTGCTGCTGTAGTAGGCAAAATGTGTTGGTTTTGACTCTGAGTCTAATGTGTTGGTTACCGAATGGCAGATTTTTAGCTTTGTGATTGCCATGGCTCAGTAAGCACCCTGAGCTGAAGATGGAGTGGTTTTAACTTACCTCCTGATGGTCCTGGTGAAACAGTCCTGGCACACTCGAGCCATTCATCCAACACATCCTTGAGGGACTCTCTTGTGCCTGACATTGTCCTAGGTGTTTGGAATACGTATGTGAAAGCCACAAAAATGGCTGTGCTCTTGGAGTCTCTATCAGACTCCTTCATGACTTTCAGTTGCCCCCGTTCTGGAATGAGAGGTCACTATTCCAGGCTATGGGAATGCATTCATTTGCTTGGCTTTTTTTTTTAAGCTTCTAATTTTGTATAATGTGACACCATTGCTGCCCACAGGGAATATGTGTGTGACAGAGACAGACAGAAGGGCAGGCAGACATATAAGCACTTTGCCACCAGCAGGCTGGCTTCATGCCATAATAAGGTATGTCTCCAAGGGGAGGCAGGAGAAGGAAAGAGCAACTCTTCAACTGGGGTGAGATTTTTTGACAGAGGTGCTGCTTGGCTTGGCCTGTGGTCACTGAGAGTGTTTCAGGAGTGTGTCAGTGGGGCATGTGGTAACGGATGTAGCAGACAACGAGGGTCTCCACCCTCTGCCTTGCAGAGATGGGCAAGGCCGAGTGTTGGAAGGGATTGAACGCACACTGGAGTATTCTGTAAGAGCCAGTGAATTTCAGAGGATGGCAATGATACCACTTGCCTTCTGCCTTGGGAGGATAATTGATGGCCATGTGTGCGATGCACTGGAGAGCAAGAGCTGGGTCACAGGGAGACCAGCTGGATGATTTTCTTTCATTTATTTTATTCATTCAACACACATTCATCTGGGGTTCCCTATGTGCCCAGTGTTGGATGTTTCTAAACAGTTCAGGTATCAGTAAGCATGGTTGTGGCAGTAGGAATGGGAAGGCTGGGATGGGTGTGAGAGGCATTACAAAGGGGATGTGGGAGTGGCACCCCAGAAAAGCCTAGTTTAAAGTGTCAATGGATGTGTGCACATGTGCACAGGGGTTTTCTCAAGGGTGGCAGGCAGCTGGAAATTGAGGTCAGATGCTTAAAGAACAACTCGTTGTGCGGGACCCCCCTTTATGGTCAAATGTAGAGGTTTTTGAGAATCCCTAGTAATTTCTTAAACTCAGGCTGGGACGTGATTCAGCCAGGGAACTCCACAAAGAGCGTTGCCACTTGGGTCGAAGTAAACTTCTCAAAATAAATTTTCTAAGTGATCGCCAGTTTTAGATGCCAGTTTAAGAAGAGTTAAACCACTTTCTAACTCATCTTTCAAGTTTGAAATGTATATTTTTGTTTATTCATTCTCAGCGACTGAAAGATACATATGAAGACAACTTTGGGGGCTGCAGGTGGGCATCTCAGTCTCTTTTGCTGAGTTTCACTTGCTCTCTGCTTCACTCATCAGTGGTGTAGAAAACTGCAACAGTCTGCCCTGCCGTAACACACACAGACATCATCCCTCACAATGGCTGGATAATTTCAGATTTAATTCCAAACAGAAAACTGATTTCATTTATGTTTTGTGATAAGAGGTACAGAGAACAACTGAAAGCAGTATAATGACTTGTCTTGACAAAATGCTTCTGCTGCTCTGGAAGAGCCAACACACTTCCCCTGGTTAAGGAGGGGTGTTGCATTTTAAACATGTGGTGGTTGTTATGCATTGTACTTATTTTTTTAAGGTAGAAAATGTTCTTCGGACTGAGTTAAATGCTGCTCAGCATAAAAGACTCTGTGGAACAAAGCCTGTGGACTGACTACTTGACATGCCCTGGGCTAATGAGAAGACAGAATGTCTCTAATCGCAGCAGAACAAATACTCACAAAGGGTCTCCTTCCCTCCTAGGACTTCCTTCGCTGGGCATCTGGCTGGGATTCTTGTTGGACTAATGTACACTCAAGGGCCTCTGAAGAAAATCATGGAAGCATGTGCAGGTAGAGAATGAAACGCCTTTGGCATGACAACAAGTTAGAAGTTCATCTTAATCTTAATGTGAACAGAAGCTACCCCAAGTTTTCCTGTGGTTCAACTCAGGAATTCCCTAATATGTTTTTCTTTGTAAACCCAAAGGTAAAACAACCAATGCAGTTGCTTACATTGCTCCACAAAAGAGGCTGCAAAGTTAAATTGTGAATCTGATACTTTCGTAGGGGACAAACATTGGTATATATTTATACCTTCAACCTTAATGCTACCCACAGAAAACCACGATTTCCTAAAAAATGCAGAGAACTGAAGTGCGTTAAAATAATGCATTCTTCTAGAATATTCCATGAATTATATGTGCAAGGCAAAGTTAAAAAAGGAAACAAAGCCTGGCTGGACAAAGTGCAAGGCCAGTATTTTAAAGAATTCAGAATGATGACCTTGGTGGTTGAGCCATATATTCATGCATAGCCAAGCCAAGTCTGTTATTGCTTGAAGCTTAGCTCCTGTTTTTTTTTTTAATTTGTTTTTTTCCCTTCAAATTGATACTCAATGAAAATATTTCATTTAGAAATACTTGCAATTTTTAGACCTCTTAATTTTAAATGCTATACTGATTTTGACTTGTAAGAAAACTGGTTTGCAAACACTTGTTTTATAGACTGAGTTCCAATATTTCGTCTTTTATTCATGGGAAATCTTCTGAGACTGTTTTTACCTTTTCTTGAACCATAAATAATTTGTTTCACAGTTTGTGCTGATGACTGGTATTCTTGAGAACCATATAATATTCATGATATTAGAAAGCTTTGCAGGCACTGCTCTGGCACCTTTATTAGCAGGTTGTGTTCACCTTGGGTTGATTTTTACAGACTGTGTTGCATCTCAGCAGATTCTCATTTTCCCGCATTTGCTTATTAATGTGTTTCTACTGTATGTACTTAGAGGAGGCAGTGGGAGCTTCATATATTGAAAATGTCCAGTTTTATTATATTTTCAATAGAATTTAATACTCATTAGTACTGATAAAAGAAACGATGCTCAGGAGTTTAATGTCTTGTTTCTTTTCTGTGTGTTTATGATAAAGTGGTTAGTAAAGCTTTGCAGACATGGTATGAAATTTAAGCAAGTGCTTTGCTTAATTTGTAAAGAGGAGTCCCCATAATTATAATATTTAAACTCTTAGTTTTAAAAGCCTTAAAAAAAGTGGAGACTTATTTTTATACCACTCTATTTTCAAAGTAATAAATACAATAGAAAATTAAATAGGAAAATTAGAACACTCAGTGCAATTTGCAAATAGCCTGCAAACTCGGCCTTTTTTCTGCAAGCTGAGAATTCAAGGACACAGGAACCTTATGGAAAATGACCCAGCATGCGGAAGCTACTATTTGATGCCTCCTGGAAAAAGGAGGGTCACCCCGAGGGTGTGCCCCTTGCCCCTCCCTCTCTACCTTCCTTCAGCTGTGCCAGCTGACTTAAGTCGGCAGTCCTACTGCCTCTCTAGGGACAAGAAAGAGTAAAGTCTCCTAGGAAGGGTACAGAGCAGGCTCTCCTAACGCCCTTGTTTGAGGAAGGTTCTCCGTTTACCTGGTGCATCTCTGCTTGTACAGAGGAATCAAAGCCAAGCCTTGGTACTTTGGCAGGCAAAGACTAAGAAACTTCAGTGAGTGTAAATTAGGGTTTCATTGTCTGCTCCCTAACACACACACACACACACACACACACACACACACACACACACACACACACAGAGTCTCTCTGTCCGTCTGTCTGTCTCTCTCTCTCTCTCTCCCTCTCCCCCTTCCCTGTAGGGCTGGCCCCCAAACAAAAGGGACTTTACCTTGGGCTTTCTCCCAGAGAACTTCCTAATTACTGGAACAATTAGCATTTAAAGCTTTATGGCTGTCATTAAAATGTTTGTTTCTTTTATGTTTAGGCATTTTTTCCTCCAATGCTGGTTACCCAGGACAGCAATACTACTTTAATAGTTCAGGTAAGCATTTTATTTCATTTAATAAATTTTAACTTCTTTTTAAAATTATAGTATTCAGCTCTACAGAGTACTTTAGGATACTAGTTTATCCTGTGGTAGAGTAGTTCACATGTTATGTAACTGTGCCTCTAACATGCCTGGAAGCTAGATAGAGGCGTAACCTAGGGAGCACATTTGTGGGGGTTGGTAGGGAAGGAGGTAACTCAGGCATGAAAACATGGTATGATTGGTTTAAGGTCTCTGATATGTGATAAGATTCATATTAGACCTTGGTCCTTTGAGACTGAAACTCTACTCCTGGCAAAGTGTTAGAAGTTGGTTTTAGGTATACAGTTCTCCACAGCCCATCCCATCTATATGGGATACTTGCATACCCTAAGATGCTCTAATAAATGCCATGTGACTTAATGAGGAAGAATGTACTTTTTTCTAAATGTCTGTGTAGATAGATAGAAAGGACTTCCTGTTAAAAGTATAAGAGCTTTTTCAGGCTAAAGCCTTTGCATTCCAGTCCGGGGTGGCTACACGGTAGTGTCTTGGATCAGGCCCAGCCGACAGGTGTTAGCTGTGGCCATTGCAACACTCACGTCTTAATGCAATGAACTGAATGGGCCCCTCCCAAAATGCATATGTTGAAATCCTAACCCCTAATGTGATGGTTTTAGTAGGGTAGGAATTTGGGGAAAAAATTAGGTCATGAGGGGAGCGCCCTCATGAATGGGATTAGTGTCCTTATAAAAGCGACCCTAGAGAGCTGTCTAGCCCCTTCACTGCCGCATGAGGGTACAAGAAGTCTAGGATGCCAGCATGATCAGTTCTGGTAAGGACCCTCTTTTGCAACCTGGGAGAGGTCCTTACGAGAACTGATCATGCTGGCATCACAGACTTCCAGCCTCTGGACTGTGAGAAATAAGCTCTGTTGCTTAAGCCAGCTAGTCTATGGCTGTTTGTACAGCATCCCAGATGGACTGAGATGTGTTTCTCTTTGTATTAATTGACGACCATTATAGCTTAAAGCTAAGACTAGCAGTTTTTTCTTTAAAGGACCAGACAGCTAATGTTTCAGGCTGTAAGGTCTTTATTGGCCACATAGTCTCTGCTGCAACTAGGTAACCTGTCCTTGTGGCTTGAAAGCTGCCATAGACAATGCGTAAACAAGTGGGTATGGGGTGTTCCAGTAGAATCTTATTCCTAGCCCCTGCCTTTTCTACCATCTAAGGATATGAGATGGGCACTCTGCCAGTTTAACCTTACAAAATAGGGTGGTTCTACTTACTCTCCCTCTCTCTCTTGCATTCCATTTATTTTCTATTTTTTAAAAAAGAGAACTGAAGAGAACAGCTTATTTTCTTCTTATATGGAAGAAGTATGCACACAACAGACACACGGACAGAGAATTAAGGGCAAAAATAAAAAGCCCTTTTTACCTCTTTTAACCTCTGTAAGATTACCATATTTATATGTCTTTCTCTGAAGTGATTGGATTTCTTCAAAGGCAGTGCTACAGAAGGCCAGGTGGCTATGCTAATGGTCATCTAGGGAACTTTTATGAGAGCATATGTATATCTTACAAGTAATGATTTATTCTTAATATGGTTGTCCTTAGCTGGAAAAGTCTTTATAGGTCAGAGAACCTCATGAATGTTTAAAAAGCTGTTACCAATTTTTCTAATCTCGGTGGTGTTTCTTGATCTCCTTTGCCATGAAATCCTGGTATGTATATAAGGAACAGATGGAGTAGTTAATAGAATAATGATAACCAGAGTTTCTTTTACTAAAAAGAAAAACTAGTATTCATCTCAGGACATAATTTAAGTGTATTTAAGTCTTTGATTGCTAGGTTTTTCCAGGAATGTTTGTTATGAAAATTTAAAAACATCTGAGTGGGTGAGTGAAATTGCCGTAGAAAATTTTTGGTCCTAAGGGAGGGGCCGGTTCTCATTATAATAGATATTGATGAGATTTTTGGTCCTGTTGATGATTTATGATTGATGGTATAGAACATTTAACCACACTGTTCTTTCTGATTTAAGGCACCAGAACTTTCCCATTTTCTTTCCCCACGTTTTGTCTGACAAGTTCCAAATTAGGTTTTATAATATTCAGATGTTTAGAGTTGTTGACTTTATTTCATTGAAGAACTGTGAGATTATTTTAAAATAAGAAACAGTATGAAGAAAAATGTTTTTCTACATCAAGAAAATGTTGCCTCAAATCATTGCATGAGTATCTGGCAATTAAAACTCTACATAAGTATATAATTTCTATGTGGTGAGTGAATATTCAAAGATTTTGAGTTATTTTGGCTTTTGAATTACCTGAGCATTTTGGGGGGTGGATTGGTATAAATGCTGCTTAGATCTCATGTAACAGAATGCCCTTCCACAGGGGTTTGAAAGTGATAATGAGCCATGTGGGAAATTACCCAATATGCTTATTGTGTTCCTGTAAAATAATTGGCACTTTTAGGGACCTGGGCAGTTTCTCTATGCAGGGATTGCTGAAGCATCCCACAGTGACGCATCTATAAATATTCTATTAGTGTTGCAGAGTGGTTGCTGCTTTCTTTTATTCTTCACGGAGATATATTAATTGTGTTTTCACTATTTGTCCGTGTATGAAAGATTTTTTTTTTTTGATAAGGAATGAAAAGTAAGATTTGTAAAAACACTACCATGGTCTCCTTTACTCTCAAGGTATGAAAGTTGCTGGTTGGGTGTTCCTCAACACAGCAATGGGAGCTGACTTTTTCTGATTCTGTTGGATAAAGACCAGTTTATGAATAACTGTTCATATTTAAAATTGCGTCCAGATCCAAATTCAGTTTTAAGCCATTGTGAAGATTTGGAAAGGGTACTTGTCTCCTTCTCCTGCTTTTTTTTTTTTTTTGAGACGGAGTTTCGCTCTTGTTACCCAGGCTGGAGTGCAATGGCGCGATCTCGGCTCACCGCAACCTCTACCTCCTGGGTTCAGGCAATTCTCCTGCCTCAGCCTCCTGAGTAGCTGGGATTACAGGCACGCGCCACCATGCCCAGCTAATTTTTTGTATTTTTTAGTAGAGACGGGGCTTCACCATGTTGACCAGGATGGCCTCTATCTGTTGACCTCGTGATCCACCCGCCTCGGCCTCCCAAAGTGCTGGGATTACAGGCGTGAGCCACCGCGCCCGGCCTACCTTCTCCTGTTTTAAATATCAATAATGTTAATATTTTGACATGGGAAACAGGTGAGATAAGATATGAAAGTTGGGTTGTTGGAGGTATTTAGTAAATCCTCATTAATGTTTACTGCACTGGGGCAAGGCTTTTCCGAATTAGGCTCCAACATCCTAAACAATTTTGTTTGCTGTTTATTTAAATCATTTCTTTTTTTTTTTTTTTTTTTACTTTCACGGACATTCAGTAAAATAGAATCAAGCTAGAAGAGTTTTGTCATAATCACTAGGAGTGGACAAAAGATCTGGATAAACATTTCTCCAAGAAGATATATACATGGCCAATAGGCCCATAAAAAGATGCTCAACATTATTAGTCATCAAAACCACAGTGAGATACCACTTCATGCCCTAGGATGTTTGTAAATTAAAAGGCAAATAGTAGCAAGTGTGAGTGAGAATGTGGAGAAATTGGAACCCTCATACACTGCTTTTAGGAATAGAAAGTGGTACAGCTACTTTGGAAAACATTCTGGCATTTCCTCAAATAGTTAAACAGAATTGCCATGTGATGTAGCAGTTCCACTTCTAGGTATCTCCTCAAAAGAAATGAAGGCATATGTCCATATAAAAACTTGCTCACAAATGCTTATAGCAGCATTATTCATAATACTTGAAAGGTAGAAATAATACAAATGTCTATCAGTTAATGCATAGATAAATAAAATGTGGTATAAACCATACAGTGGAATATTATTTGCCCATAAAAAAGAATGAAGTACTGATAAATGTAACAAAATTGATGAACCTGGAAAGCATACTAAGTGAAATAAGCTAGACACAAAATGCCACATACTATATGATTTCGTTTATATGAGTCATCCAAAATTGGCATATTCTGTACAGACAGAAATTATTAGTGCTTACTTCGAGCTGGAGAAGGGATGGGAGGGTGAGGATTGTTAGCTGAAGAGTACAGATATCTTTTTGGGGATGATGAAAATGTCCAAAACTGATTGGTAATGACAGTGCAGTTCTAAAATATACCAAAAACCATTGAGTTGTATACTTTAAATTGATCAATTGTATGGATGTCAATTATGTCTCAATAAAGCTGTTCTAAAAACATTAATAGATACAACTACCTTTCATGGCAAATATTTAATAAACATAATTATATTAGGCTATCAGCTGAAAGTATTGTGTTTTGCCATTTGTTGTTTATATGAAAACAAAGTCTACTAGAATGCTGATTAACAGTTTCCCTTTTAATCTTACATATTAGGAAGCATAAACAATACAACAGTAAATTTTAAAATAGCCTCAGGACCAACTATCAAAAATTCTGAAAATGAAATCTCAATTAATGAGATTCTGCCATTCAGTGTTCCTCTTTTGGCTGGATTGTATTTTTTTTCTGTAGCCTTACTAAATCTCTTACTAAATGTGTGGGAGCATATGAAGATCTGTGACAAAGATTCATAGTAAACATTAGGAATCTACATCAACAACCAAAATCACATTATTTAAATATTTGAAACATCACCTTCAAAGAACATAATAATGGCAGGAAAGAAGAGAAAAAATATCAGACTATTTTACTGCTCTCTCTTTATGCCAGAATGAGATTAATAATAATCTGTGGGGAAAAAAAAAATCTCTTCCAAACAAATTCTCTAACTATTGGGCAGTTAAAGAAAATGTAAGGAATAAACTCAAACTGAAAAGATGGATGGAAATATCTTGCAAAAGTGAACTTTTCTCTGTTATTGACCTTTATTAATGGGATACCTAAGCAAGCATTATTTAGTGACCAGGTTGTCTCTTCTCTCTTCTCTCTTGTTTTATCTAGCAACCATTTTTTTTTTTTTTTTTTTTTTTTGGTTGCGGGGGGGACTGTAATCTCTTGTATAGAATTACAGTTACAGAGAAATTGGCTACATCTTAATGCTATTGTCTGAAGTATTCTCTGGTATCTGTATGAAACATTGGTCTGCCTCTCATTGTACAGAGCAATAAAACAATAAGGCTTTATCAGCTATTGTTTCCACCATTCTCTTGACTCAAGCCAGGACTTCACGGAAAACTCTCCAAGTATTGAGTAGTCTAAGCTGAAAGATATGTCAGTAGCTCATTCCAGTCTCTTCTTCGGGACCTGACCACACTCTGAATTAATACCTCCTTTCCTCATTAGCACATAAGGGCTCATTCATGCCCAGCGCCGTGGTGGGCACTGAGGATACCAGAGTGACAAGGCAGTCATTGCCCACCTTTCTGGAGTCATTCTCCATTTGGCATCTTTTCTTATTTGGGGGATAATTGTTATGCTTAAAATAATGTTATGCCTTACTCGTTTGTCTTTGCTTATACAAAACAGGAAGTATAAAACAAAGAATAGTCCATAGTGTTCTATAACCTTGTCCTTGTGCCTGTAGGCAGCTCTGGATATCAGGATTATTATCCATATGGCAGCCCAGGTCACTCTGAAGAAGCACCCAGGAACTATGACGCGTACACAGCAGGACTGAGTGAAGAAGAACAGCTTGAGAGAGCATTACGAGCCAGCCTCTGGGACCGAGGTAGGAATCTCACGCTCTTCAGTTATTTTAAAACATTCCTCATGTGGTAAGGTAGTCTGAAAAAGGGCTATTTGTAGCAAGTTAAATTTTAAATAGTTCAGAAAAAGGATATGTAGAGGAAAAATGTGTGCAGATTGTGATTACAAAGAATGGGGTGTGATGCCTGCCATGTTCCTAGTAACCTAAGCTAATAAGGTGCCAGACTGTGTATGTATTGTTAAAGTGATTCTTTTTATAGGCCTGCTGCTCTTTGGTGCCTTGGCATTAAAATCAAGAAACTTAAAATTCTTAGGTGCATAAAGAAAGGAGAGAATTACTTTGGAATTCATATTTGTAAAGAAAGCTCAGTGTCTCTAAGTATCAAAATACTGCCCATCAACCTCCCGCAGATGTCCCTCAACATCACATGGGCTCAGAATTCAGGCTCAGGTTTGACTTCTGCTGAACCAATCTGTCTGGGGGTAGAGCCTAGAAATTTATATTTTGAACAGGCTTTCCAGGAGATTCTTTTACAAACTGATATCTCAAAACAACACTGTATTTATTCTGCCATCTTTGTTCTACATTTGGATTATGAGTTTCGGTATTACTGTTTTTATTGTTTGAGTAGTGACTAAAAGTCGTCTATTCATTTAAAGGGCGTTTATCAACATCTGATGTTTTGCGTATGATGACAGGGACAATAGGGAGCATTGAGTGGTAAAAGATGGAACCTACCCTCAAAAAGTTAACAATCTGTGTTTGGGCATATGCCTACTAGATGTGATACCACACAGGTAACCTTAATATCCGGTGACTAAGAGAGGCTTAGGCTAGGTGCTAGAGGTAGGGAGAAGATAGTGAGCTTTTCCTACCTAGAACTATCAGATTTTCACAGAGGAGATAGCTTTTGAGTTGGACCTTCGAGAATGCATAGAACCTGAAGAGCTGTGGACGGGCTTTTTCTGCAGAAGTCTGAGTATAAGCACAGACACAGAAGTTAGGGTCATGTTTGCCAGCCCTCACTTTTAAATGGACAATGAGCAAAGAAAGGGAAGAAGAGTGGGAACTTAGGCTGGTGCTGGATCACAGGGGTCCTATAATTAAATAGGCCAAGCGGAAAGCGGATTTAGTATGTCATGTAAATGCCACTAGAGCTCTGCATGGGAGACTGATGTGGTCAGAGCTGTGTTATAAGAATCTGATAGTAGCAGTCATTCTGCAAACAAGATTGAGCACCAGTCGGGTACCAAGCATTATACTAGATGATGAGAGTACATAAACTATGACAGTATAGTTTCTGACTTTAAGGAATGCAGTCTTAGCAGCAACAGTGTGCATGGAGGTGGGGAATGACAATAAGCAGGGACACAAGTTGGAAGATTATATTGCAGTAGCCTGAACAAGAAAGGACAGCCTAAATTATGAAGGTGGCAGGGGAAGTGGAGAGGAAGGCATAAATCTGTATTTCTCAGATGAAGAGTTACAGAACTGTGATAATGTATCAGTAATCTTTCACGGGGTAAAGAGTCACCCTGAAACTTGTGGATTAAAACAGTAAACAGTGGTCCACTGGGGGCTGGCTGCTCTAGGGTGGCTTCCTCTGCATGCCTGCCTGACTGTTTGATGGTGGTGTTACTCCACGCCTCACCCCATTCCTCATCCAGCAGGGTAGCCTGGGCTCATCCACCAGGCTGCAGCATAAGGTTTATAGGAGAGTGCAGAAATAAACAAGTCTTATGCTGGCACAATGTCAGTTCTACTGTATACTGTATACTGTTACCGAAGCAGGTAACTAGACCAGCTCAGATTCATGGGATAGGGAGAGAGTTTCTACATCTTGGAGGAACAGCAAAGTCACATGTGATGGTTATAGATAGAGGGAGAGGTGGAGAATTGTAGCCATTTTTGTAATCACTGTATCACATGTATTCAGTGGGCTGCAGTAGTACAATCATTCAAAAGCATAACTTAGCCATGAAATCCTGAAATCTGGAGAAAAGTCCCCAGCACCTGTATTTTTAACAGATTCTCATGGTTATTCTTGTGCACACAGGGGTTTAATCACCACTGGGCTATCCATGAACTATTAGGGGCCAAGTAAGGCAAGACAAACTTCTCAGCATGGACTTTGCACAGTCCATCTCTATCCCCATCTAGGCTGACTTCAAATAAAATCCCAAGACACAGCATGATGGGAAAGATTGGGATTTGTGTTTGGGTGACATCATCAGATTATTACCTACTGTTAAGAAAATATGTATTCTAAAGTAACAAGCCTTCAAAAATAATTAAAGAGTGATGAAAACTCAGAGGGAAAAATTAGGTAGCCTAAGTGAGAATATTTGAATATTTCTAATGGGACATAGAAATATTTGAATATTTCTATGAGACATAGAAAACCTCCTGTGTTAAATGTAGTCAGAGAAAGGAAATGTAAGAAGACAAGCATACTTTTTGTAGTTTTATTTCTAAAAGTTTGCTATATGCCCCGATTAGTAATTATACAGGAAGTTAGTACTAATAGTGCAGGTGTCTTTTTTAGAAAGAGAAAGGAAATAATGATTTTCTTCAATAATGAGACATGAGCATGGACAATCTGTAGATGAAAGCATCCTCTGATGGCCCTGGTGATTTTGGAGCAATTTCGGACACTTGAATCCAGCTACAATGGAAGGGTCTTGCATTTTGGGAGTCAGAAGGAAGTTGGAATAGATTTTTGAGGCCGTTTCCTTAATAAAAAATGTATTTATTATCAAGTTAATATAAGTCATTAATATTAATTTTTCTGCTTAATAAATGGTATTTAAATATTTACTAACAGGCAAAAAAATAAAAAGAAAAGACACAGGGTACCTTGAGAGATTTCAGAAAGTCATCTGATAGTAGTGTTGATTTTTCATAAATTTAAATCTTATTCTTAAAAAACTTCTTGCAAAAATAACTCAAGAGAGTATACTAAACAGAAATCAAAACAACTTAAAATTTTTACTACCCTTATTTTAAATTATTTTTATGTTTTTTCATCTTATCCTTAAAATATTTCAGTGAAGTTAAGAAATGAATTATTTTTACTTAAAAGGTTTTTACACATCAAATGCTATAAGACTTACTTGGTGAGAAGATTATTTCTGGGATTATTTTGAAGCCAAGGGTTTTGTTTCTACCTCTGTCTAACTAGTTGCTTGGTCTGAAAAAAATCTAGCTGCTTTTTTATGAGTATGGAGTTAAGTTCTAAAACTCCTCACAGTTTAAGATCACTAGGACTAAATGATCCAGAGGTTGTGCTGAATTATTTCTGCTACCTGACCTTTTATTTTAACAAAATCATAGATTGTTTTCCTCCTTTTTCCTTCATCCTGCACATATATTTTCAGAATTTGAAGCATTCTCTTCTTTTCATTCATGAAAAATCACAAAAGTATGTAGAACTTGTTTGTCTCTCGAATGGCCACTTGGTACATCTGAAACAGAGTGGCCTTGTTTAACATTTTGAATTACAGTGAAATAAATAAATAAGTAATTTTGAAAAGAAATCATAAAAGTGAATCATTAATTGATGATTTTTGAATATAGGACTTTCTAAACAGAAGAGTAAGGAAAAAATTATGGAAGATGGACCAATAAAATCTTTAACAAAGAATTATTATAATCAGTATGTAAAGAACTCATCATATAATGAAATAATTAATACTAACTCCTATTAGAAAAATAGAAAAGAATTTTAATATTTAATCCAAAGACATATAAGTGACCAGTGTGCATCTAAAAATAATGTGTTATATACTAGCAGAGAGTTACTTAGTTTCTTCATCTCACCACATTTATTTTTTATTTTTATTTTAAATTTTTGTGGGTACATAGAAGGTATATATATTTGTGGGGTACATGAGAACTTTGATACAGGCATGCAATGTATAATACTTACATTAGGGTAAATGGGGTATCCATCACCTCAAGCATTCGTCCTTTCTTTGTATTACAAACAATCCAGTTCTACTCTTAGTTATTTTTAAATGTACAAAAATCATTCTTGACTGTAGTCACCTTGTTATGCTGTTAAATACTACATCTTACTCATTTTATATAATTATTTTTTGTACCCATTAACCATCTTCATTTCCTCTCATCCTCCACCCCAGCATCTGGTAACCATCATTCCACTCTCTATCTCTATGAGATTGTTTCAATAGCTCCCACAAATAAATGAGAACATGCAAAGTTTGTCTTTCTGCGTCTGGTTTATTTCACTTAACATGGTGACCTCCACTTCCATCTATGTTGTTGCAAATGACAGGATCTCATTTTTTTTATGGATGAATAATATTCTATTGTATATAAGTACCACATTTTCTTTATCCATTCATCTGTTGTTGGATACTTAGGTTGCTCTCTAATCTTGGCTACCGTGAATAGTGCCACAGTAAACATGGGAATATAGATATCTCTTTGATATAATGATTTCCTTTCTTTTGGGCATATACCTAACAGTGGGATTGCTGGATTATATGGTAGCTCTATATTTACTTTTCTATGGAACCTCCAAATTCTTCTCCATAGTGGTTGTACTAATTTACATTCACACCAAAAGTGTACAAGGGTTCCCTTTTCTCCATATCCTTGCCAGCATTTGTTATTGCCTGTCTCTTGGATAAAAGCCATTTTAAACTGGGGTGAGATGATGTCTCATTGTAATTTTGATTTGCATTTCTCTGATGACATTGAGAACCTTTTCATATGCCTTTTTGCCATTTGTATGAGAAATGGCAAATTTGAGAAATGTCTATTTGGATCTTTTACACAGTTTAAAATTAGACTATTAGAGTTTATCCTATATATAAGCAGCTGTTGGAACTCCTCATATATTCTGGTTATTAATAACTTGTCACATGGATAGTTTGCACGTATTTTCTCCCATTCTGTGGGTTGTCTCTTTGTTGATTGTTTTCTTTCCTAGAAAGAAAGTTTTTAACATGATGTGATCCGATTTGCTGACTTTTGCTTTTTTACCTGTGCTTGTG